CATAAAATCATACAAAAGAGGAAAACCACAGTGAAGAAAGTCTCTTGGCACTTCCCATGTATGCCGTATGGATCCAAGTGTTGTTATTGTTTCTTAAGTGTTCCCTTGTATGTGTATCATATCGTATTCGCATTGTATTTCGGCATAAAAGATACATTTAATTTTAGTATTATGCCTTTTTGTTGTCGCATAATAAACAGTTTCGTTTTCAGGTTTTGTTTGGAACGTAAACTTAATTCTTTTATTTTGAATGTTAAAGGAGATAGCAAACATTGTGGTTCGAGTTTTTTTTCATATTAAATCTGTCTACATTGGGCAATATTTTTGATTTGTAATATAGTTCACTTATGCCTCATATTGCCATTCATACAAAAACATTATTTTTTTTTAAATTATTCAATGATTGCTTACATAGCACCCTTCCTTCTAGTTAGGAATATGCTGCTTTTATTGATTATGACATCTTTACTCTATTAAGCCATTAGATAACTTCCATATACCTCAGTTAGCGTTTGTTCGCCGTTCTGCTATGACATTCCTTGCAAGAACCCCTAAAATACAAGAGTATAGGCTAAATGCATCCATCCATCGTATTTACCCATAAACAGTCTAAAAAACTGTCTAAGAAACCTTCCTAAAACCCTATTTCTTCTGGACGCCAAAGTATTCACAGGAAAGTGTTTTATGGTTTCTTTTTCCTGCAAGTTTCCACAATTTCTACAGTCTGGATTATGAGGAATGTGTAGTTTTTTTACATAGGATTTTGTATACAAATGACCAGAAAGAACTGCAATAAGCCTTACAGTATTCACGCGACCACTTTTGACGAGTACTAAGGATTTAGTTTTATTATTGATGGGCTATGTTAACCTAGAAGTTGCATATGGCATAAGTGTCTGCTCTTATTAGCAAACTGAAGAAAGTATAAGTGTGTACTTCTCTTAAGAAGAAAGTAGAGGTGAGTACTTCTTTTAATGGTCTCTAGGGTAATATAAACCGGTACCGCCAGGAACGCATTCAAGGCAGCATATGAGCAAACTAAACTGCAGTTTTCTCTTTTCCTGAATTGTTCCCTTGTGCAGAAACAGCTCTGCCAATATGCTTAGCTCGTCGATTGTCTCTGTACATTATTTTACTATCTTTAATTTTGTTTCTTTGATTTGATTCTATTATTACTAATGAAACACTTTTTTATTATGATTTCTTTACTCACATATTACCAATATATCACTTTCACGTTATTCAGCTGCTGTTTCGAATGTAACTTATAGGTCACGTTAATTTATCTTAAAAATTCAGTTAGCAATATTTCGTTAGATTATTTTAACATATTAGTATAATAAGTAAATTTTGTTAATTATAAATTATTAACTCGTATTTATATTGTTTTTATGGTAGTAAACATTGATTGTTTCAGGATGATACCTGGACATAAATTTATTTCATAGAAAATAAAAGAAATTACTAATGATAGTAGCATGTATTTAAGATAAGAATATAGAGAATGTTTTCAATCAAATTATTTAAAAAATAATATTAAAATTACGAAATATTAAGAAATAAGAAAGTATATAAAAAAATAAAAAAATTGTATTAAAAAGATGATTGTGAATAAAAAGCACCTTAGTTACCAATATTAAAAATGGTGAATTTCTAATTAAATTGAAAAAGCAAAAAAAAATTGTTCTTTTAAAATTTATAAGAGAATGGAAGGTTTTTCTGAAATTTCTGTTGATTTGTATTCAAATGCAGCTTTTTTCATTCCATTTAAAAATTCTAAATAAAAATCTGCGGCAAAGCTGCGAACTCATTTGTATGCAAGTTGGGTTGCGAACTAACGAAACGAATTTTCAAAATAACGTTTGACCATTGTTCATTTCCGGACAAATTGTGGAAAGCAAAAGCACAAAAGGATTGACTTTTCTTCTATACGAAATACATCGAAGATAATAGATTGTTCAACTGCGTATTATTCCCTTTCTTTATTAAGAATAACGTTGAACGTAGATTTAATATATCATTGCTCTGATATATGACTCTAAATTACTTGAATTTTTTAAATCTGTGAAATATTTAATATTTGTTTTTATTAAAAACGAATTATTATATATTTACTTAATTACTGGTCTCAAAACTGTATAATAATTTTCAATTAATAAATAAGATGAAGGAACAATGGCATCTTTCACTGTATCTTTTGATAGATACAATGCTTTTAATGATATTAGAAATATGCAAATAATTTCAATTATATTTCATATTTCAAATTAAGGACTAATAAAACCCACATTTGAAAATATGTACTTAATATAGACATATGTAATCTTCAAATCAAAAGATAATATAACCGCATCAATAATGGAGTTAAAGTTGCAAACAAAGCATTTTCCAAGCACATAAAGCTCTTTTAAACTAAAAAAATTACAAAACCGGAAAATTCACCTTTATAACTGTCTGATCTGCTAGTTTATATGTATATGATATATGAAAGAGTTATCCATTTTGTGATTCTAATTTTGTGGCATCCTACAAAACTTTCGCACAGGACATCATCGATTAATTTTAAAACTTGCATTTTTCAATATAAATCGGTTCTCAACCACTAAACGTGTTAAAATCATGAAAAAGTCTACAAAAATTGTATTAGTTACGATGACCTTCTGGAAATTCACGACTAACTGTCAAAAGTCCTTACATTACTGTATGTGAATTTAATCATTTAATCATTATTTTATTTTTTTACATATTTTAAAATGTAACATGAATCTTTATTTCTGATGGCTACATTCACATAATTAACAATTTTTGGTTGCATGAAATATATGAAAGTGAAACAAATGTGGACTCAACTTGAAGGTGCTATTCAGGATTGTCCTTGGATGCACAATTCTAAAACTATGGAGCTATTGCCAGGTATATATCTCAAGTCAACGAAAATGCTCAAACCCCAAATCAAAAAATATAAAGAGTTTATATAAATTGAACACGGTGGTCACTGTGTTAATGGAATAAAGTACGAAACATTGTTGATGCTTTATTCCATTTTCAGTAATTCCTGGTTGATGCGTGCTTTGTGCTGAATGTCCTGTAGGAATGTCAAATCCCTGCGACCAAATTGTTCATCTGCTATTTTTAATAGGATTTTAGTACTCCTTCTAAAATATTTTCCCGTTAGATTTGGGCGTTTATCTTTACCCTACGGTCAATGAACACGAGTAGACCGCAACCATCGAACTTTACGACGACCCACACCATCACCATCGGTGGCGCCTGCTTTCTGGTGATCAAAGCTGCTGACCTCTCTGACAAGTAAACTCGATAATTTTGCTTATTTACGTACTGCTCAATTAAGAATGGTGACTCATCAGGAAAAACCAAATTCAGCAACCCACCACCTTCAGCCAAACAAACCAGCACTTTGAGACTATCGACTCTAAGTTTTTTTTGTTCATCGGTGAGATCATGCACTTTGTTCAACTTCAGTGGCTTTAGTCTGAGCTCATTTTTCAAAATGAGTTGCATCCTTTCTTACGATACGTTCACCTCCTTTGCTCTTTGATTGCAGCAACGACGTGGGTTTCGCTCAATTCGCTTCTTCACGTTACGAATCATTTCTAATGTTGTTGCTGTTTTTTTTTTGTCCACTTTCTGGGCGTCGGACAACACAACCAATATCACGATATCGATTTGTGTACGAAACACAAATGATTTGTTCACATTTAGATGTTGGAAGGCTCGAAGAATAGCCACTTGTGTTTTTCCAGACAAATATAAAGCAATCACACTATCATGTTTGGACTCCATCACACACAAGTTCTTTTCTACAACACAAAAATCAAAATGCCGTCGTACATTTGTAAAAAATTTTGAGATTTAGATCATTATTGGTTTGGCAGCTACATCAGTGAGCAGTTAGCTGAAATTTTCATCAGCAACCCTGTATACATATCAAGCAGCTAGTAACTAGTCGTTCAATGTCTTAACTCGATTCGCTCAAGAGTTTTGTTTGTAATTTTAGCTGTCAAAAAAATTTTTTTTGTATTAAAAGCAACAACAATTGACAAATTACAAAAAAAATTACAAAGGTGACAGCTAAAGTTACGAACAAAACGCTCGTGTGAATCCAGTATTAGACATTATGCATAAGTAAAAAATTTTAAAATGATTAAATTCAACATTTAATGCTTATTATAATATTTATTTATTTTTTATTTTTTGATATATATTTTTAAACTAGATGAAAATCCAAAAATATTTTATTCAGTATCAAAATGCATTTTTCTCTGCCTGCCATCATCATTAACACTTTTTTCTTCTTTCTTGACCCGCACGGACATTGTTGCCTCATAACGATATTTTCTTAACTTTCCTATGCTTTCCTTTCCTATATTTATGAAGTTCTTCGTACAATTTGCTTTCTATGCTTGTAATTGGGTGAATATTTCGGGGCCGTTATGGTGTGAACAGTGACTGTCTTAATATGCGCCATTGTGTCAAGATAAAGGAACGGAAATTAGCACGATAGCAGGAAGCAAACGTAAAAAGAAGGCGAAAACGACGCACGTACAATAAACAAAAGTAAATGCTAAAGAAATCTTAATAATAAAACGGAAATGAAATACAATACCAACAGAGACATTTGCCTTTTATGCGAGTGGTGATTGTCCGTATATTTAAATGATTTTTATTTTTTTTATTTAACTGATTGTGGTATTCAAACTCCAAAGTCGTAAGTATTTACTTTTATTGCGAATGCAGTATTCTTATGAAGTAACAGAATTTTTTGAAAAAATAATCTTTTAAAAATACTAATATACCTACATAATAATATGCATACATATATATTTGTATAATATCAAATTAATTGATTTTATTTTAATATTTGAATATAAAAAATTAATTAATTAAATTAAATAAATAAATTTAATAAGGAATTACATTTATTCTTTTAATATTTCTTTTTTAGAATATGAAATAAAAAATTAATTGAAAATTAGCAATTACATATTTGCTATGGCAGCCAACGCCTCTGATGCAAAATATTTAACATCCTCGTCCGCATCACCATATAACTTCATCAAAGTTGGTTTTACTTGTATATCGACGATGCTTGCATCCAGGTGGGGTGAAATTTTCTGAAGAGTTTTAGCAACATTGAAACGTACATTAGCAATGAGATCTGATGCTAGTAGTAAAATAGTAGGTAAAAATTTCTTTGTTATGATATCTGCGCCACAAACTTCAGCCAGATTGTTTAAACAAAAGAGGCAGGAAATTCTGAATAAATAGTTCTTATTTCCTGACATGTTTAATACTATCGGTATTATTGTCTGTTTAGCCCACTGCACACCAAATAGTTCTACCAATTTCTTCATATTTAAAGCAGCTGCTTCACGTATAGCATAAACATGATCGTTAAGAAAACGTTCGTATATTTCACATAACTCTTTATCAAAAAATTTCTGACCGAGTTGTCCAACTAAAGCAGGTATATATTCAATTATGGCCAAGCGGACACGCCATTTAGAATCCTCAGCAAGTTGGACAATAACTGGTAATAATGCCTTTGATAATCGTCGAATTCCTATAACATTATTAACATAATCCAAATTGGAAATAATATTTAAACGTACTTCTGGGCATTTATCAGTTAATTGTTTCAAAACAAGGGGTAATAAATGTTTTATTGTATTGTGGGGACCCAACATTGGACTTAAACCCATAATAACCGATGCTAATTTAGACTTAACATGTGTATTGCGATCAGAAACCAATTTATATAGGCGTGGTAAAATTGATTTTTTAATGACTTTCTGTTGATCTGTTATATTAAAATTTGCGCAAAAATCTTTAATATTTGTTACACTCGTAGCACGTACTTCTGGTTCGGGATCTTGTAGTAGGGTTTCAAAAATGGAAATTAAATCCCTTTGCATAATTTTTGGGCCAACTACTTTCTGTAAATCCACAAACTTTTCAGCAAGCTTATAACGCACATGCCAGGATGAATCACTCGCGCACTGATACAAAGTGGACAAAAGTATATGCATCACAGCATCTTGTGTTAACAGTTCTGTAACACTTATACAAGCCTCTACAGCCAAAACTCTGATATAATACTGGTCGTCTTTTGCCAACTCCACAAAACTGGGTATCAAATCGGATTTCAAATAATCAATTTCAACAACTCTTGCAAATTCTCCAAGCTTACTTGCAGCTGCCCTTCGTACTGTTGGTACTTCATCCTGACATAACTTACGGAAATTAGAACGTAATTCTAATTTAACTGCTCGTGAAACGCTTGCATAACAAACTGAGAATAGACCACAAGCTGATGCACGTGAAGCAAACCAATTACCTGAAACTAAGCGTCGCAATGCTGGTACAACATGATTCTCCAAATCTTGTGCGCTAAGCTGAGCAGCAACAAGGCGCAAAGACTCTATCGCTTTGTCTCTTACAAGTACTTCCTCTACCGTGGCCATACTTTCAAGCGGTGGAATCAAATGCATACCATATTCAGGACCTCCAACTAAAGGTGTAAAATTTCCCAATTGATCTGCTAATGTTAGCAGCATTTCATTTTCATTATGAAAACTTCCACTAAGAAATGGTATCAATTCTAATCTCGTGCGTTCTTCACCAAGAGCTAATGCGATTGTAGAAAGCTTTTTTATTGAATTTACTCTAACTTGTAAGTCCTCACTTTTTAATGCATCGTTTAATATAGCAATTGGATATAGGGAATCATCCACGAACTTATCATATGCGGCCATTTTTCTTGGGAAACTTGCTTTGACTTTTTTTTATAATACAGGACTTTAAATAATTTCAAACTTACTTTTCTCTCTGAATATTTGTTTCGCAATTTTACTGATGTACTTTTGTTTAAAATCAACTATTTTTGTAACGCAGTAAATTAATTGAATATAAATACAAAAATAATTAATTTTCCGCAAATGACGTATTGCATTGAAGAAAAAAAAATCTAACCTTACATTTCAATTAATTCATTCACCATAAACATAAACTTTCTACAATATTCACAATAATGCCACAATAAGTATTTAATTCATAGGTACATGTAAACATGATTTAAACGCCGTAATGCTAAATATGTGAGTTGGCATAGTGAAATTTGCATTTTCAATGTAAACCGTTATGCAGGACATATTTGTAAAGAAAGGTCTTCCCGAAGAAACCATCATTCAAAGTATCAATGCGTTTACAGTTCATAACAATTCAAACTTAATTTTTTTAGAAAAGATTCTTTCCTTCTTTTTTATACAAACTCCTAAGCTTTTGTGTAGATTTTTATTTACAAAATGTATTTATCATTCCTCAATCGAAACATCTTCTGATTATTTTTTGAGAAACTCACACTAGTCTACTAGAGCAACTCATACTCATATGCTCCGAAGTGCGGCAAAAAACAACTAGTCGTTTACTTAAAGTCTCTAATTTTTACACATTTTCGTTAATATTAAGATCATAACTGTTAGTAGGGCATAGTAAAATTCCTATATTGTATCGTTTAAACCAAGTCATTGTAGTACCGCTAATATGAGACATATATGTAGTAGCATTGTTCTGCTGAAAACCTGATCGCCGTCATTTTTTAAAATCAACGTATTCAATTAGTTCAGAGAAGAGCGATCATCTCTAAAATTGTGAGTTATTACTTTACATCAAAAGAAAACTGAAAAAGAATCTACTATTACAATATTACAATATTATTTTTTCTTATTGCTATTTATAACAGCAAACTCTTGAAATTTATTAAAATTTATTATTATGAAATCAGAAATAATTGATATTAAGAACAAAATTGAAGTTATTTTTTTAATTTTGTATATGTAATTTAAAAAATAAGTGTGTTCAGTCAAAACGTCCCCATTCCTTGTGTTATTTCCATTTAAAGTTAGATTATTCGAAAATATTGAGGTTCCCTTAAATTTTTAAGCAGCATTGTATATATACACATTCAGTGTACAACAAATTATTTAGAATTTGTAAATAGGAATTACGTAAAAATTAACGGTATTATGACTATGTATTAAATTAAGCTCGGCCAATAAGCATTTCGATTTTTATATCTATTTGAACTATTGAATTATGTTTCTATATGTAAATGCGTGCTTTAATAAAACTTTAATGAAACTAGCATATGCATCTGCTAACTCTTATATTTCTTATTTTTAAAACTTAGCTTCTCCAAAGTAGTTAAGTAAATATTATTTAACTATATCCTTTGCTCAAATGGAACACTTACGAGTCCTTGAAGGGAAAATCCTCCACGATTGTATCAACTACAGATGCTAGTCCAATGGGCATCACCACTCTTTTCGAGTACTCTACTCCACTGACAAGATTGAAAGACTTGATGAGTACCTTCTATCCCTGGCACGTAGACATATAACCCGTCGACATAATCCCCCTTACTCTCTAACATTGATGAGATAGCTCGCTCCCCTATTCCATCCCGTTGTACGTGAATTTCGTGAATTTCATAACCCCCATCATCGTGTATATCGTTAGTGGATTCCATCTCTTGATACTTCGCTAGACAATTTCCCATCACTCTTAATTTCAACGCTTATGCGTCTTCATCCTCAGCTTTGGTGAATTTGTATACAAATACTAAGCACCTATTTTCGTCTCCGCTGATTTTGGAATGGGTTTGCATCCGCTGAACGCCGGTGCAATCTACTACTTTCATTCGAAAGAAGTCGTTTATTGAGTACAAGTCTCACACGGCGGCTTTCAAAGCTTCCACTTCTGCAAAAAACAAAAAAAAAACATCAACGCTTAGTCTCACGATCTTACTTTAGTATATTTAGGGAGTTTGAAATGCTAGTGTTGGTTTTTCTTTTGTATAAATCTGATTTAAAATTTAAAATTTCATACAGAAATTATTCAAAATTTATCAATTAAAAAACGATCGCAAATTATACGGCGTTTTTAAAAAGTTTTTGACAAGATATTTAGCATAGTTGTTTTACAGTCGATGGGGCCTTCATTAAAAGCGACAAAATTAATTTAAGTCCACAAATAAAACAGGAACAAAAAAAATAGATTAAATGTTTAAGATTAATAGGGGTATCTGCTAAAAAAAATATTCAAAAATTTTGTACAAAATCATCTCTGAGCCATTATAATTTCCATAGCAATTTAAATACTACAAAATATAAGACATCAAATTATTTGATATTTATTGTATAAATATTAATTCGATTGTACCATTTTTAATTTATACGGAATTTTTGACTAAAATATGTTTAAGTGGAATTTTTTTTAAAACTCTGTATCTTGGTAAATATTGAAATGAACCCTTCCTCTCACACATTTCTTTGCTTTCTGGACTCCCTTCGAATTTAAGTAATGTTTTCATGAAGGACCTTCTTAATGTTTACATGAACATCATTTACTTCTTAAAATTACAAAATCTTTTATTTAATGCAGTATTTAACCAAGTTAATTTAAAGTTTTACTACGTGCTTAATAGTTTCACGCTATCAAGCACGAATAAGCACTTCAATTCTTTTAATAAATTTTTATTTTACGTATAACACTTAATAAAATCATACCTGCACTCTTACTTCAATATAATTGGATTCGACTTATTGACGTTGTAATGTATCGGATCTGAGGTGAAACTTTTTGACTATTAATGAAATTTAAAGGGCAGTATTAAGCATTTAATATATAAAAAAAATCAAGAAATTAAATTCATAGAAAAAAAGAAATATTTAAAAAATATATATTGTATGTATAATATATTCTAAGAACACTTATACTATGTTCAGACAGCCAAATTTCTTTAATTTTGTAAAAATGAAATTAAGTTAATTTCGAAAATGTTCATACTACCCCAAATCGTGTTTTTAACAAATCGTATTAATTTACAAATCGAATGTTTAAAATTACATGCTCCAAACACCATTTGTGACTGGGAAATTTTAAAAGTTGATTTTAGTGAATTTCAAGTATATGAATTAATATTTTTCACTTGCGATTTATTTAAAAAAATATCACTTTTTCATTATCTCTATATTACGCATAGTTGCAGTTGAAATGTCCCCTTATTTCAGCCTTCATTACAACAAAATTTAGGCCATTTTCCCATTTCCCTTAACCTTAAAACTGAATTTTGTATAGGAAAAACGATTTAATTTTGTTGAAACAAAGATGAAATTATGATTTTTGCGAAATTTAAGTGTGTCTGAACATAGTATTATATAATCTGTAATTATTAATTTATAATAAATCTATCTTAATCTTCTATTATAGTGAATTACTGGAAAATCAAATTTATTTTTGAATTTTGTATATATTTTCAAAAAAATTTAGTGCCCATAAAAAACCATTAAATACGATTAACTGCATAAATTATGCGTCCTAATCCAAATTTTATTACGTCGAAGCGGGCAGGTCCAAAAACGCTAAATGCGGCCATTAACAATAACAAAAATAAATGTCAGCACCACAAATAAAGTCATTACGAGAAATTCTCTTTCGCGTTGCAAACACACAACTAAACTCATCTAAACTTCAAAATAGGCACACACTGAACATATATACAGACACACGCGTTATGTACGCATATGTATGGTATGGTACGGTACGGTACACAATGAAACATATAATAAAAAGGAAACAATAATTGAAATCAAAAACCAAACAATACCCGCGAAAATTATTGACAATTGTTTATTTTCAATTTGAATTCAAATCTAAAAATGCAATTTCTACGCATACAAATGCTTTTCATACTTTTTATGAATTGCATCAATTGCGATTGTGTATGCGAACAATTGTCAAATGTGTTGCATGTCGTTATCAACGTCACCACTGACGTACCAAACTGCTGCTACTCCCAACCCAGAATCAACCCAATGCAACTGTCACAATCAATTGAGGCAATGTGGTGTGGTATTTCAAATGTCACGACTACAAATTGCAGAGGCGTTTCGTTTTTTATTGTGGCCATGGCATTTTTTTTTTCCTTTTTTTTTGTAACTTTTTCTTCCTTCTTCTGTCAACCATCTCATCATAACAAATTTTGTTATTGTGCACGTATCTGCTGTATAAATATGCAGATTTGAATATGATTGTTTTGTGTGTGTTTGTGCAGGGGTTATCATTGTGTACATTCAAATGCATTTTGATAACCCCAAACAGACTTACACACACACAAGTACAAAACAGTAATAAAATAATTGCAGTGCACGTGTCAAAAATATTTAAAAAGGATTATCAGCTTGGCATATAGTGTTAGTCCTTTATTATTTTTATATTCACTTATACTTTTTTTAAAGTAAATTGCTTTGAAATTCATTCGTATTTATTGAGTTTTTTGTAGTGTTTTTTTAGGCTCATATAATTTTCAGTTTTTATTTTTTATGTATTTCGCTTGTATTTTGATTTGGTGCAAATTTAGCGCAACATTGTTTAGATAATTTTTTCATTTCTCATTCATAATATTTTTTTATGTTAAAACATATTATTTTATTTACATATTTTTATTGTGTATATAATTTAAGTAGATTTGATATTTTATCTCCACATTAAAAACTATAAATGTCATCTTTGTAAATATAAAAATAAACAAAATAAGAAATGTGGATGTTTTATTTCACCATGAAGAACTATTTTATAACTCTCCTCTATGTGAATACCAAAAAAATGCAAAAAAAAATAAAAGGGGCTAAGGTGGTTAGTTCTGATTTTATTATCATTTTATTATCATTTCATTATTATTTAGTTATATTTTTATTATCATTCATTTATTATTTATTCATATTAATATTGTTATATATTCATATGTTTATGTACTTCTTATTACATAGTTATGCATTTACATATAATACATTTATACATATTATACATTTACATATTTACATATATTTATACATATTATACAATTCATATATTGATATTTATAAACTTACGTTTGGAGGTATGATATGCCATCACATAGATTATAATGTGTTGGGCAAAGTATACACCTTATTTCTGGCATAACTCCGATGACTAGACTTAACCGAGTCCGAGTGTTGTCATTAGCCAATACACTGATTTCATGACTCTCCAGCCAAGAAAATGTTTATGGAGCTATGACAGTGACGAAGCTGCAGTTAGTAGATAACTGCAGATTCGGACACATAAATAATGAAACCTCGTAGAACGTTTACATTATCACAATTAACTCATTAATTGTGAACCTCACAAATTCCGTAGAAAAATATGCTTACAAGTTTTAATAAATCTAGGTGTAATTTTACTGTAAATATTGTCGATATATCTTTATTACTTAAATAAAATAATAAGAAATTAAATAAATTTAAAAAAAAAATTTTAAAATTCAACTAAAGAAATTTTTAAACTAATTCTTTAAGATAATTCGTATTTATAATATCTTAATTTTTATTGTTTATTTTTATTTTATTAAATATAATTATTATTATTATTGAAATAAAATATATTATAGTAAAAAATAGTAAAATGTTTTTTATCTTATATTTCGTGACCGCTATACTAGATAAAAATTAGTTTATGTAGTTATCTAGTTATTTAAAATTAGTTTATAGCCAAGGCTATAACATCCTTATTATCAATACATATACATAATATTTGTTAGTAATATTTATTTAAAATACCTTCAAAAAATACAATATACTTGCAGTAATTATTTTTTATATAAATAAATTTAATATATACACTATTTACAATTACACCTCATGTCTAAACTTCCGCTTTCCATACATAAGTCAACATTTTTTTACTAAAAACGAAATATAAGTGTTTACACTTATAATAAAAAAATAAAAAAAAAATATGTATAAATATGTATATGCATGCTGACATAACAGGATTTATTTTATAATAAATCAATTTTAAATCAGTATAATATCCAAACCAATTTAATGACGTGTTGGTTATAATATTAAACATTTATTGTATATTACATGAATTAAGTTATTTAAATTGATTTTGTTTTGAGATATTAACCATTTTTAGGCTGAAGAGTTTTTGGGTAGATTTTTCTTTCACATGGTGTATAAATCCTGCCTTACATTTTTTTTTTTCATTTTTTTTTATATCAAATAATCACTTCAAGAGTTTACGTGAGTTACACATGAAACCCCCTAGAAATCCTCGCCATTTTTATAGTATGTTCACACAATTTTAGCACATTTAACGGTTGTTGAAAGCCCTTCCATAATTTGGCAAATCTAAAACTAAATGTATAGTGACTTGGATGACAGTTCTTTAGGATGTACTATGACACAAAAAGTATTGCCAAATCAAGATCACGAAGTCGGTGATGATAACATAGTAGATGAATAAGAGATTTATGTTTTAATTTTTCTTTAAATGTGCATTTCACATGAAAATTTTTGGTTAAAAATTTATCTTTTTAAGAATTGGCATTTACTAACAGAGATAAGGAATTAATGGGTTGGTATCGAGATGAAATATTTATTTAAAGATTAAGTAATATAAAGTTTCGATTATTTTTTATTTGATATTTGTTCCTACATCCATTTGAATGCATTTAAAAAAAGGTATATAAATATTTAAATGTTCTACTATCGCTTTGCTGTGCTAATGTTGACAAGACCACAAAATTAAAATCTAGTTTTTTCCGTTTTAGAAAAATAATATATAATAAATAGAGGAAAATTAAATATGTTGCAAAATATGCAATTTATTTGTAATGAAACCAATAATTGTAAAATCTAAAATTTGCAATCATGCAGAAATTATGCATTTTGTGCTTCATTAGTTCGTGGGAAAATTGTAAAATGTAAAATGTTGTAATTTGTCAATTTTAAAAATAGCAAAACTCATCTATGTTCAGAGATGAGAAACCCACACATGCTATAAAAGCGTATTGAGTCCCACAAGTAAAAATGTGCTCCATGTTAGGGAATAAATTCGTCAAATAGAAATTAAATTGAAATCTGAAAATGTTTTCGTCATATGAAGTAAAATTTAAATCCCTGACTTAATTTTATTAGTCTATTCTTAACAAATAATTGTAAACAATTAAAATATAAAAGAATTTCATATAATCATTTATCTTTCGATTCCTAGAATCACTTATCTTTACTACTGAATCAGAATCTATCTGAAATGAATTGAGTTACGAATATTGGTGTTAAGTGGGGTGCAGACTATCATACTGGTGTGTCATACGAGTTGCGGTCTCTCTTGCTCAAATTTCTTCTAGCGACCGAATTTGAACAGGTATGACACACAAGAGTAGGGAAAATTTTTGAAGAGTGCTTTTGCGGGTAGTGCTGTGAAAATTTGTGTGTTTAAAATAAAATTTTAAAATTGAAAAAATTGATAGTTAACGTATAGGTTGTGCTTTGCTTATAATTGATTATAATTTTGTATATTTTATATATGCCGCGTCTTTTTTTGCGATCTTTATATTCACAGCTTTGGACATCCCACAAACAGCGATTACTTTTATTAACTTTCGATGAAAGCATCTAAAAATGCTTTATCTGCATCCATATTCATATTTTTTTTAGATTTATTGGTCATTAAGCACAGTAGTTAAAATGAAAAGATCAGTAAAGGACCGTAGTTAATTTCATTCACTACCTGTGAAGTTTCTTAAGAAATTTTTCATAAATAGATCATACAAATAATGTATATATATATATACATAAGAATGTATATATCTTCATTGTTTTTGAAGAAATTTGATCATTTCCATATATTTGTTAGTTAAAGGTTATTAACATTTAAAATTCTTTTATTTTAATAACAAGTTTTAACAAAGAAAAGCATATTTAGAATACAAAGTATTATATCTTAAATTTAGGGTATTAATTAATTGTTATTACGACCAATTTTCAATATGTTTTTTTATTACTGGGCTTAGATCATAAATTTAACGATGTTTATATATAGATGTATTTTTAAAAAAAATTTTACTTATAATCATCGTTTATAAATTAAAATAAAAGAAAATAAAATATTTAATAAATTAAATAAAATATTTAATATATTACATAAAATATTTAATTGTATTTTAATTTTTTATAAGAATTTTATGTAAAGATTTATATTTTTTTTAACTAAGATACAATTAAATATTTAACACAAATTTATAAGTGTAATTTTAATAATAATAAATATAATAATAATAAATACATTAATAATAACATAATAAAAAAAATATTAAATTTATATTATAATTCTACATATTCCACCTGCTTACAATAAATTTGCAAGGCTAAAATGCTCTTGTATGACGTATGAATCGTTAGGGGTGACAGACTATCATACACAACGCGTATGCGAGAGCTGTTCACCAAAATTTTGGTGAGCACGCCAACACGTTGGTAAAGGTGGCAGACTATCATACCTGTGTGTCATACGACGTTTTTCTCTCTCGTATGACATACCAGTATGATAGTCTGCACCCCACT